TTTGAATGAAAAAGAAAAAGAAAATATTTAAGAGATAATTTTAAATATAAAAAATTGATCCTTAAATCACCTCTCTTTATTGAATGAAGAAAAATAAGACATTCTCCATTCTTAAACATAAAAAGTTGTAATTAAATACGATGTAACTTATTTTACAACTATCTTAAATTAAAGAATTAAAACTAAGGCAAATAAAATTAAAACGTCAAACTATTATTTAATTACAATAAATATTCTAGCGAGAACTAAAGTTTAACTCATCTCTCTATAGTAAATTCAAATTTGGTTCATTATATCATAGGAGATTAGAATTTTTCGATTACAAAGATATGTTTATATATTTGTTATATTAAAAAAATTACAAATAAAATACTAGTTATATTTTTCAATATAATATAATTATTATTAAAATTATTAAAATAAAATAATAATAACATAATTAGAATTAGAAAACAGTACAAAATGTTACATACTTAAAAGTTGAATAATATTGCTTACGAATGATACACATTCATGTTATTTCTCAACACAAAAACTAAAAGTTATCGATAAGATTTGAATTTTCTACCCAAAAAAATTGACAAGGTTTGGAAATATATTATTATTATTATTATTATTATTATTATTATTATTATTATTATTATTATTATTATTATAATAATAATAATAATAATAATAATAATAATAATTATTATTATTATTATTATTATTATTATTATTATTATTATGATTATTATTGTTATAATTATTATGATTATTATTATTATTATTATTATTATTTTATTATTATTATTATCATTATTATTATTATTATTATTATTATTATTATATATCAAATAAGACATTTCTAACAAAGTCATGTCAATATTTAAATTTTGGAAGCTCCTTACAATAAATGATATGTTCTTCAAAAGTATCCAATCATGTCTTACGGCAAACATGGTTAACTTCATCAATATGAAATAAGAGGATCTTAAAGTGGCATTTTAAGATGGTATGGTAATCTAACGGGACATATGTTGGCATAGACCATTAATAGAGATAACAAGAAAAAGATATTGAGCTTGTGCTGCTTGCAAACAATTAAAAATTACTTTTTATCTTGTGCTCATTTCAAACTTTACATTTATGTCCTGGACATTTTTACTAAAAAAGACACTCTCCAAAATATGTTGTGCTTTAGGAGGGGCGGTGTCCTTTCTAATAAAATCTCTAAGGTCAAAGTTTGGAATCATAACACTAAGACCATCCAAGGCTCTATCGAAATCAAGGTCCATACCACATATGTCTCTCAAAATATGATCATATAACACCCAAGATTAGGCCCTAGATGCCACAAACGCATATAAGACAGTCTCTAGTGTCGAGTGCAAACCCAATCCCCCAAATCTAATAGGTAAAAAAGCCAGTCTCCATTGAAGATCCCCAAAGAAAGGACCTCAACCAATCACAATGTCTTTAACCACCATTCACAACTCTTTATCAAACCAAATTATTGTTTTCTCCATATGATTAGATTGACACATTATAAGGCCAAAAAAGAGTTTGACGATATCCATGCAAGAACGGAGTAAAAGAAACTCACTTTGAGGATCCCTTAGTTGTGGCAAAAGATGAATTAGCTCAACACTCTTGACCGATCTCTTCATAGACAACCCCTTGATAAAGTCTTCATCTAGAATAACAACCCTCCAAGAAACTTTATCCCCGACATCGGCCTCCCAATATCCAAAGGAAACAACTTCTTGTGAAGTTTACTACCATCACATGAAGGTCAAAAAATCTATGTTTGGAGAATATTCTATTCGAGACGTAATCTTAGACCGGACTCTCGAATGATGTCAAAGGCTTTAGCCACCTCCTCTAAATTCCCTGTGGTAGTGCCATCATCAAGACCAATCATGAAGAAGAAGCTTATGGCTGTCGCTAATCTGATGAATAAATGGATGTAACATAAGAGTAAAAGGGGGCAGCCCTAACGAGTTACCTTATTGCACTCTAGTGGCCGATATAATATGATCATCGCCAAGGTATAACTTCGCCGCCTAACCATAGATAAATTCACCCTACAAGTAAATAGATGGGCATCTCACCTCTCGCAGTATGGTTGGACGATCTAACAGGTTAAAAGTATTCGTGAAATGTATCGTGAATATATTCAAAGAGACATCTTCATGTCGCTTGCTCAACACCTTGTTGGCACTCTGCAAAATGGCCTTAACATCTTTTGATACCCCGATCCCAAACTAGAAGTCATTAAGATACCGTGCCACATCCTTACTGACCCCTTTCATTACAATCTTGGATACCAACCGTCTCTAAATAAAACCCACAACAATTGGTTGTATCCCACCATCAGGCTTCAATAGCGACATCAAAGGTGCAAAGGCAACAAACTCTACCAAACTAATAAGAAATCTCTCTGCCAACCATATGTTAACAACTAGAATGATTGTGCATAAGACATCTCTAGACACAACATGACCTTCCTCACACAGTGCGTCTAATAAATGGGTTGCTCACAAATCATCTCTACCACATGAAATCCCTTTAGGAAATGACTTAATGCACCTGAATATAGTATTAACTTCATCCACTAAAGGAGATTTAGAGAACATGGCAGTTGGCATGAATGGAGGTGGTTTGTACAAATGTTTAGCTTTCAGAGGCTTCATAGTATTTGCATTATAGGGGGATACATCAGATGACCCAAACACTTTCACAACCGCTGTGAAGTGACTATCTACAACCTTACGAAGACATTGTTTGACATTAGAGCTCACCTTTGCATCTTTTTCCTCAACAAGAACTCCCTCATGACCCGACTTATCTTGTTCAAAGCTGCCCAACACACTATAAACTAACTTGGAAATACTATGTCCATCCCTCCAAGTAGCCAAGTACTCCAAAATATGATGTTAAAAGAAAGACTTTTCGGTTCCCTAACCTGCGATCCCGTCTATTATGATGCTTAACCACCTGTAAGGTGCACAGATGAAAAAATAACAACCGAATTCAAACGCCTACAGATCTTGGCTCAACAATCACCTTGAGTAGCACATCTCTCAATATTCGAGAGAAAGCAAAACGACACTTATTACGTATGCTCTTTACAATGAAAATAAATAACTTAAAAATAGACTAATATTTTCAAATTAATTATATTTAAAATGTTAGCTTTTATGAATTTTTAAAAATATAACATTTTAATTAATATTAATATTAGTTTAAAAAGAATAAATAACCTTTCTTATATCAAATAAAAACAAAATAACATAAAATGCTAATTTGCATTAGATTATTATTTTAAAATATGTTCTGATACGTTTTGAAAAGAACCAATGAGAACATAGATCAAGTTAGGTGAGGTTATAATTTTGAACATTTTTCAAATCATTCTATAAATAGAATAATTTGAGGTTTTAAGTAGGTATTTAATTTGATAGCTTAATGAAAAAAAGTAGGTATTTTAATTTGATAGCTTAATTAAATCAAATAGTTATTATTGATATTTTTTTCATTTAAGAAAACTTTATAGAAGTTTAAGAAAATAGAAAATCTAATATTTTATTCATAAATAAATTTATAAAGTTAACCTTTAGTTAAAACTTCGAAATAGTAAGCATCAAATTTATTAATTTGCCTAAACTAAAAAGTTGTAGGCCTTTAACTTACACCTTTATAATTTTATAAATATATCTTTAACATTTGTATCAATTTATAAATAATATATATACTTATTTTATTTTACTATTTATGATCCTTTAACCTAATTGATATATTGAAGAATTAAATAGAATATTGTAAATGAAATTATATTACTATTTATAAAATATCTAAAAATAAGAGTATAACATAGGAATTAAAATTTAAATGAAAATATTTTCATCTCTATGAAAATATTTGATTACTTTTAAATATTTTTATCGATTTATATTTTCATCTTTCAAGATCCTTATGTAATATTTTTTATTAAATTAGGGGAGTAGAAACATTATTATTAATTAGATTGAGACTTATTTTACAACTATCTTAAATTAAAGAATTAAAACTATGCCAAATGGAATTAAAACATCAAATTATTATTTAATCATACAAAATATTCTAATGAGAACTAAAGTTGAGCTCATCTGGCTATATGAATTCAAATTTGGTTTATCATATCATAGGGAGACTAGAATTTTTCTTTTCGATCAAAGATATGTCGATATATTTATTATATTATTAAAATTACAAACAAAAATGCTAGTTATATTTTTGAAATATAATATAATTATTATTAAAATTATTAAAATAAAATAATAATGACATGATTATAATTATAAAATAGTACAAAATGTTACATACTTGAAAGTTGAATATTATTGCTTATGAATGATACATATTCATGTTATTTCTCAACACAAAAACTAAAAGCCATAAAAAAGATTTGAATTTTGTATCAAAAAAATTGACACGGTTTGAACATATACATTATTATTATTATAGTAATAATAATCATTAATTAATTATAACGTTTGAACTTATCAAGCCAACCTGTTTTAAAGAGAAATATAAACATATCATCCATTGATGAAGCCAAAATTAATTAAATCCGAAATTATTTCAAATTTTCCAATTTTGATTCTTAGTTTGAATTCACATTTGAACTACATAAAAACTATGATGCACTTACACCAATCATCTAACATGCTTTTTTTGGAAGATTAGTCTAACTAAATAATTAATCAATCATTTAAGGAAGTTAAAGATTTTCATACACAAATCAATTGTTGCAATGCAATATCATACCTCACATCATTTCAAATTTTCGATCCTTAGCTATTATATTTATTATAATTCAAATAATAACTGCAAATAATATTAATATGATATCTCTTTCCTTATCCATAAAGATATTATTAGCTTTTACTCAAATATTTTTAAAATAAATAACCCTTCTTATAAGTTTCTCTTTTCATCAAATCAAACTTCATTCTTCAACTTAATTATTTTTAGCCATGACATCTGAGTCCTCTAGCATCTCTATCACTTCACAAGATCAAGGTGATTCTTCCCACTCTAAAATTGCGGTGAGCATGGAGATCGAACAAGATCGATCCTCGAATTCCAATTCCAACAACCTGATTGATTTTGTGAAGCTGCCAAAAGACGATTTTGTTCCCGGATTAAAGGTACAAGAGCATGATTTTTTTAATCTTATACAAACTGGTTCGTCGTCTTGTCTACCTACTAACGATGTTGAACTGAAAGATGAGAACAATAATAAAGAGAAGAGTCTTGATTTAAGATCTTTTTCATGCTCTTTTTGTAAGAGAAAATTTTCAACTTCGCAAGCATTAGGAGGGCATCAAAATGCTCATAAAGCTGAACGCGCTTTAGAAAAACAACGTAAACAAAGGTACGATGATGGTGCTTTAGGTTTAGGGCAATCTCACTTTACCCCTTATTTTAATTATCCAAGCAATCTTTTTACGCCTTATAGTTATAACTATAGACTTGGGGTTAGAATGGATTCCACAATTCAAAAACCACCTTATTTTAACCCTAGGACTACCTCACATAGTTTTGGTTATGGCAATGGTGCTTTGAGTTTGCAAGATATGTTAAACCCTTCTCTTGTCTCATTGAGAAATATGGGAGGTGGAAATAGTGGAATTGGAACCCTAGGTAGTGGGGGTGCAACTAGTTTAAAAATTAATGATGGTGGTGCAAATGATAAATTAAGTGCTCTTTTGAAATTTGGAGATTCTTCTGCAAATGTTGCTACAAGTTCAAACTCAAACATAGACAAGAAAATCATTCTGGCTTCTACTTCTATCAAAGATGAAATCAAAGATGAAATCAAAGATGAAACTAATGATCAATCAAAGTCCAATATTGAAGAAGAACCCTCCAATTCTGAATCTTCTGAACTTGATTTGTCACTTAAGCTTTAAATTAGTATTTATATTTTATTTCCATATAACAAAGTTTTGTTAATTTGATTGCTACTCTATATAGTTGAATTATGTCTTGCTATTTATTTTTTTGCTGTCAAATTATTGTACGAGTGTATTGTTAATTGAGAGTGAGTATTTTTTATACTCATTTTTCTCTCTTTTAATTTATATATTTATATTTATCATTCAAATAAAAATGATTAGTATTAATCATGTTTTGATTGTTATCTTATGTTTTGATTGCTTCCTTGATTAACGTTATTTTTCTTATTGGCATTAATTCATATTAATTGTATGATTTGGACCTTTTTTTAGTAGCAAAATATGATTTGGACCTTTTTTTAGTAGCAAAATATGATTTGGACTTCGATCTTTCTTTCTTTTATATAAAATATATTTTGGTTTTAAAAAATATAATATTTGATTTGTTTGCTAGAAGTGTTTTGGTAAGATTAAAATATATTGTGTTTGTAAAAAAATATTGGGCTTGAAATACTAAGATTTTTAATGATATAAACCGTGGTATATTTTTAACTAATATATTTTTTACAAATATCTTTGCACGGATTTGGAAAATATTAAATGAATAATATAATTGTTTGATTAAATAATAATATAAATTTTAACCAAAAATAATAATAAACAAAATTCTTCATATAATAGTTAAACATGTTTAACGTATTTGAATGAAATAATTATAGTCATAATATAATAATGATTTTTTTAATTATGTTCACTAAATTATCAACCATCAACATTAATTTATTGAAAACAAGAATTGATTTCTTTTTCAAATAATTTTTCTTTATTTTTTAAAGATTAATGACATATATGTGTAAGTTTTCTTATATATATATATATATATATATATATATATATATATATATATATATATATATATATATATATATATATATATATATATATATATATATATATATATATATATATATATATATATATATATATATATATATATATATATATATATATATATATATAAAATAACGGTCGGACATGCGTCCGGATTCAACTCTTATTTTCTTTGTATTTTCTCTAATCTAATAGTTGATTTTTAGATAAAAATGATAGACAAAATTAGTAAAACAAGGATAAAATTATATATTATATCACATATAACTTATAGTTAAAATTAAAAAAATGATAAAAAAAAAATTGATCTAGTGGCGGAGTTAGAAGTTTTTCTAAATATATTTATTGATGATAATTTTATATATATATATATATATATATATATATATATATATATATATATATATATATATATATATATATATATATATATATATATATATATATATATATATATATATATATATATATATATATATATATATATATATATATATATATATATATATATATATATATATATATATATATATATATATATATATATATATATATATTTGAAATATCAGTACCTTTTTAGTTATAAAATATATTAATGTATAGTGTGTTTTTTTTATTAAAAAAACTTATTTTTTTTTAATTATAATTATTTACATTTTCATTTAAAAAAATCTACAAACATGAATCAATAAAATTTACAATATTCAAGTTAATAGCGTATAATAATAAATCACATACATACATAACAATACCAATAAATATAATAAAATTAAAATATGTTGAATCCTGGTGCCTACAAATATGATTGAGACTTGCAATTAGATAATGCGTATAGGTGAATTAAAATTAAGTATAGGTTTGCTTATTCCATTTTGAGTGGTTGCATAGGAGATTCTGTATATGAGAATTATGATTGAATTAGATTCTTGAATATATGTATGTAGTGGGGTCATCCTTGTCAAATGGTTATTTCCTAGGTTGGTGATTTGCTCTTAAAGTTATATGACTATAAAAAACACTACATTTAATTAATTGATTAATAAAGAATATTTGTTTCGTATAAACTGGACGTCACAATGTCAATGTTTTGTAATTCATTTTTAGGAAAACAATGTTAGGAAAATGATTTTTTTTAATTATTGTATAAAATTTAACTTTTTAATAATAAAATATTTAAAACGGACAAATTTAAGTAATTCTATAGTGACATATATTTGTAAAAAATAACGTGAAAACAAAAAGTGACATAAAAAGAACAAAATTGATTGAAAATTAGAGTGTGACAAATTTATTGTACTTAAAAAGGGAGAATTTACAAACAAAAAAAATTAAGTGTGGAACTATTGGGCGCGTGCCCTAACTAGAGTGTGTCGCCTTCAAAGAACATAGTAGATCACCCATCTTAGTGGGGTTTGGATCGATATTTTTCTGCGAAATAATCGTTAGCCTCTTATTAAATGTTATTTCTGAGATCGATTATAATAATTTTAGACTTAGTATTTATTTAAAGTATTTTTGGGTTGAAAAAAGGAATAAAATGGCAAAAGATAAAGACAATTGCGATGTAAATAAATCAAAGACTGTAAATTGCTAAGAATTTAAATATGGAAGCATTCATACATTGTTAAGCTTGAATTCGTTTCTCTCTTAGATGCGGGTGCTTTGAGCGTATTGATATTAAATATGAAGAAATGCGACCTACACAAATACAGAAATTTGCTTAAATAGACATCTTAAACACGTAACCATCGACGGTTATTAGCCCATGTTTGGGCTTCGTGGGGACTGTTTAAGTGTTCCCACATTCTTGTTGGCTCTGCACGTTGACAACTGTTCCCGCCAATATGCCACCTTTCTTTCGCTTCTTCGACCTTCGTTTCTGTCGACAGTTGTCCATGATCTATCTGCCTTCGTCGACTAGCTCATTTGGTCGACGTCCTCTGATGCACCCCAATTGCTTCCCCAAATCTTGGCTTGACGTCTCTCTCAATCGTTGAACTAGACGCTGAAGTGATCCAAGCGCTTCATGAGCTAAGATCCTATTTATTTGAAAGAGAATTTTTAGATGTTGTCGAGGAGGAAGCCTTCATGGCGGTTGTGATCTTCAAACTTATCGACACTATCTCCCAATATCCTCTTCCTGATTCTTTAGCTCAGTACTTGATCGATTTTGAAGCTTTCTTTACCCAATTAGCAAAAGATCTTTCATTTCGTCGTCACACCGACATCCAGCTTAAGACCAAAGTGAACGAGATGAACTTCGAATGGGACTTGAGTGAAATATGTGTGCAAAAGGCCAATGACCTCGAGGCTAAGTGAAAGGATCGTCTGGACTAGCATTATGCTCTTGATCAAGAGATCCTGAATTATCAAAACCAGATTGACGAGCTCAAGCAAAAAATTCTTGATGCTGAGCATCAAAAAGCTTTGTTGTGTTCATCTGATAATTATTTACCTAACGATGTTCAACAATTTACTCTCAAGGGAATTACCCATGGTGAAAAAGCCCTTCAACTTAGGAGCAAGATCACTCATCTTTCACCAAAAGGATTCACCTCGACCAGAAAATTACCTATGAGAGGGCCTTCTTGGAGAACCTCAGATCTCGGTTTCCTTTATAATCTCGCTATCGCCCATGTTTTGAATGGGCTTTATTTTCTATATATGTAATCCCATTGGGAAATTTAATAGCCATTTTGACACTTGTCCATTTTGGCCTACGACATTCGACATTCTTTATTTTGACGTAATTCAAACTTCTTGAAGTATATGCTTATATTTTTTCAAATATTTACCGTTTACTTTCAAGACTCTTTGATCAAAACTCAACTCTTCGATCTCATATGCATCATTGGTAAACGTTCGCAGAATCTGGAAAGGCCCTCCCAATTTGGCGACCACTTACCTAAAGTTTTGTCTTTCTGATCCATAGGGAGGATAACTTTCCAGACGTAATCGTCGACCATAAATGTTTTTATCTTGGCCTTTTTATTGTAGGCCCTTGTAACTCTCTCCTTTTGTCGAATTAGCACGTCCAACACAACTAATATTTCTTCATCTAGATCCATTGTTTCATCCAGCATCATATTCCAATATTGTTCTGATGAAAGTTCATGTTGGCACTGCACTTGCACCGATTGTAAGTGTATCTCGACTGGCAAAACAAAGTTGTGTCCAAATGCCAGTCAAAAAGGCGTCGACCCTGTCACCTCTTTGGAGGCGTTCGACAAGCCCATAAAACCTGATCTAACGTCTTATGCCAATTCTTGGGTTTCTTAGAGATGTGTCTCTTGATTAAACCGATTATCACTTTGTTGGCAGCTTCGACCTGACCATTGGCTTGAGCATAATAAGGCGTGGACGTTACCAACTTGAAGCCTGCTTCTAATGTAAACTCTTGCATCTTACGCCCAATAAACATTGATCTCTGGTCTGTAGTGATTGTCTCAAGAATCCCAAATCTACAAATGATATGCTTTTGAATGAAGTCAATCAATGCTTCTTGGTCGACACTGACCAATGATACTGCTTTTGTCCATTTAGTGAAGTAGTCTATCCCTACTAGGATAAACTTTTGTAATTTCGACGAGGCTGGTCGAATTTCTCCTATGACATCTACCGCCCAACCTCGAAACAGCCATGGCTTAATGATCGTGTGCAATTCACTTGCAGGTGCATGTCGAATTTACGCGTGCCTTTGGCATTCCTGACAGCCATTAGTAAACTCAATACAATCTTTCAACATACTCGGCCAATAAACATCCTATTAAAATAACAACCATTTCATTTTATGGCCAGCTTGGTGAGCCCCATAGGCTCCATTATGGACTTTGACTATTGCCAAATATGCTTCAGTATCTCCTAAACATTTAAGCAACACCCCTTTAGGAGTCTTTTTTAACAACTCATTACCCATGCACACGTAACTCAAAGCCCTATATTTTATTTTCCTATTCACATTTCTGATTGGGGTTACCAAATACTTCACAATTGGCTTTCGCCAATCTGTATCTGACAAATTATCAATAACAAAAATTTCAAATTCAAAATTTTCAAATGTAACATCTGCCCTCCCAATTTTTGAGATTGGAAATATGAAGGATGGTGTCGAGACTACCTTCACT